ATATATGAACATGTTATTTTGAAGAGATTTCTTCTTGGACTTAGATTATATAATTTTCGTTCATGTCTGATTTAATTTTTTTTTTGTTTTTTTGGATTGTATCGTATTTTAGTAAAAAGAAAAATATTAATAATTCACATTTTTTATTATTAATTTGGGAAAACAAGAATAGTTGTCTTGTCTCGGGATCAATGTATGTGGTACCAATTGGTGTAGCACGGACCACACGGAAATAACCCAAAGGGACTACACGGAGCCATTGACTAATTGACCATTGACCAATCTAAGTCTTACATTACAAGACATAATCCGACACAGACAAAATAGAAAAAAAAACGGTACGATCTTTCGATTAATATCATGTACCTTATGTTAAAGTAAACCCCACACTTCTAGTAATATTTTGATACTTTTACTAACTTCAACGCAATAAAATCGTACCTAACTGTTTTAAAAAAAGTGTATGCTATAAAAGAATTTTATATGCATGTATAAATATATTTTTTTAAATCATATGTGAATTTAAAATAGGGATAATTTGCTACATAACAAAAAAATTAAATAGTAATAAAGCTATATTATCACATGTCAAATTTTGGAAAACAGAAATTTGAAAATATATGCTATATATACTTTTTTGTTAGTTTACAACCATGCTATACTCTTAAAATATTGTTACGACACGATCAATTATTTCTATCAGTGAAATGAAGATTTAAAATACACGTTTCTCATGACAAAAAAAAAAATACACGTTTTCTTATAACATTACAAGTATAACTGCATTTAGGTATAAGAATCGAAAATAGTGAAACTCTAGAAACCCGTTTTTTTTTCAACTAAAACTATAGTTATAAGAGCATGATTATAGATGATAAATATGTTGGGATAAATATATAAATTTTGTAATATTAATTGTATTAAAATTGATGAAGAAAAAAAAAGAAGAAGAGAGAGAGAATAGATGTATAATTACTTCACTAAATACAGGTAATATAAATCCTACATTTAGAAACTCAAATATGTGTTTTGATTTAATTAAATGAATTTAATTGTTAAAAACCTACTATATTTATTTTTATTACCAACCCATAATCATGCTCTAATATGCCACCACAATTGGTGGACGGTTGCTTACAAATGAAAAATTATAAGCTCTTTAGAAACCTGCTTTCATAAAGTGACTACTTTGTGATTATTTATTTACTCATTAAATAATAACTTCACACATC